ACAATTCGATTGCCGACAAAAACACAAACTGCAATAAAAACGTATTAAACAAAAAATTAATTTCTCAAGAAAAAGAAATATATTAAAATGTAAATGTGCTTTAGAAGTTCCTTTTTTTTGGTTCATAAGTTTAGTAAAACACTAAGAGTTAAATGTGTAAATCGATATTATTGTAGATATTTACTATGCGTTTATAAGTATGTATGTATTTATATCGGTGATTCGTACGTGTATATATGTATCATTGTCAGTATAAAGAAATCTAAATGCATACACTTTTCTTTCCTCTTCTCAATATTTTACACATTATAATCTGTTATTTACTTGCAGATTTTTTTAATAATTTACTTCGCGCTATAATAGATAATATTATATATTTAATAATAAAATAACTTTAAATGCTTGTTAATTAAACATTTGTTGGCGCATCCATGCCACAAATAATCGATTTGACCACTGCAGCTGCCGCCAGAGATGCAAAATTCTGCCATTTTCGCGTCGACATGCCGTCCTTGTAATCGGAAATACCTGCAGCGATAGAAGAGTAGAGAAGTAATATGTATCAGCTATGAAAATAAAAATTCTACATTCATCACCGCCCACCTTTCACTAGTATGAAGCTCTCTCTACAATTGCCAATAATGCTGTCCAGCACTGAACTCATTTCCACATCTGTGGCGAGCAGTCCATATTTCTTTACGAAATCCATGCGTGAATTATCGCTACGCACCAGATCGCGTCCGGAACCAATGGGTCCAAGATGCAGGCGGGAACGTGGCACACCATCCAACGTGTCCGTGGCGATCGGGTGTGCCACCTCGATGACTTCGTTGTTGCCGATATTCATGAAGAGTTTATCGGTGTTGACGGAAGGACGATTAAAATCACTCTCAGTTTTTTGCATCAACGATGACAGGCCCTCACGCAAATAGGTATCCCAAGGACGTTTCAGCTTCATGTTAGCTTGCAAGCCTTCAGCTATCTGTTGTAGGGAGTCATTGATGGGGAAATATGTCTTCACATCATCGCCACTCTTGTAGACATAAACGTAGGGTTTCTCATTTCTGTGTTGATATGTAAATGTAGCAAGAATTAACGAATTATTATAAGAGCGCAATATATGTGCATTAGGGTGCATTCAAAAAAAAAAAGTTGTGGATTTTAAAACGGAATTGTAAATTTTATTTTTTTTTTAAACTTCTGCTAAAATATTTCGGAAAATATTAAGGTTTATGTACACGCCAGACCGATTTGAAAATGCCTCCAAAAATCTCATAATCTTTATTACGTTGTTAAGATTTTATTTATTTTTTATGGGGACCTTTTGAGCTTAAACTCTTATATTATCTGAGGTGATTTTTTGGTAAAAATATTTTTAAAAACTAATTTTATTTATAAGAAACGCACTTTTTGGAGGTATTTTCAAACGGGCCTAGCTCACATAAAACTTATCTAATATTTTCACAAAATATTTTAGCAAAAGTCTTAAAGTATAATAAATTGTATAATTTCGATGGAAAAACAATACCGATTTTTTTAGAGTGATGCACCCTAATGTGTATAGTTTGCATAATAAATTAAAATTCTATACATTTTTTACTCACTTGCTCAATAGCGCACGTTGTTTCTCCACATATGAAACGACCACATCTCCCAGCCGCACATGCTTCTTGTAATCTGTATAATGTGGCACACCACCGGCCACGCCCACCACGAAGACATAGTCGACCTTTTGGAATGTACCCAGTAGACGTGTCGTCGTATTGCCTGTAGCGGTCATAGCTTCGCGAGTACTGCCAGCCGAAGGTAATTTCGTGCTGACGATGCGATGTGCACCAATGTTANTTGATCTGCACGTAGTTGAACCCGAGTACTGATGTATGTTCAGGATTGTGGATGAGTGATTCGAATGTGATATAAAATAATTAAATTTACAATAAAACAGTGAATAGGTGGGTTGCGATGTGAGAAAGTCAAATGTGATATGCACTGGAGAGGGGGGAAACGTTTGCGCTAAGGCAGTGAATGATCTCACTCATTAAAGGATTAAATGGTACGATATGAATGTTTTTTAATATTATTATGGTCACTTTGTTTTGTTTAGAAATGAATATGCACATATGCATGTAGTAAAGCAGCTCAAGTAAAATAGACCAATGGGTGCAAATTGTACTATCGTTTTCTTCTGAGCTTGATTACGTGCTGATTGGAGTTATAAATTTAAGGATTCAGGAAAACTACCTGGGTGGTCCCAAATAATTTTTTCCCCACTATCCGCAGATCCTAAGAATATTCCAGTGTTATATTTGCATCACAGTTCTATTTTTGGAAAATTGCTGAAGGGAAATATTTT